ATGGAAGCTGCCCTCTTTGTGCCATATGTAGTTGTGTATGTGATTGGATTTTTCTTGTATGAGGCTGCTGCTGCTGATGCAATGGCTTAATTGTATGCTGATACACTGACCCCAAGTTCTGATTTGACTTTCTAATCTTCATTCCTGTTCCAGGTCAATGTAAAAAATTGCTTAAGCCAAAGACAGTCAGGCAATCGGTATTTTTAAGAGGTCATCTTTCCCTAATGGTCCTAAAGATGACAGCTTTTCCCAAGGCCCAGTTTTGCATTACTGTCCCCATTGAGGAGATTCACCTTCTCTTCTTGTCCCAGTGACAACATTGTCTCTAGGAAGGAATTGAGTAGAGATCTCCAAAGGGACCCCAAACAGTAACAATAAGCAGAGCTGTTTAATAGAACCACTTACAAACCCCTTGTGACTTCCGTTCCTGTCCAGTAAGTGCAAATGTTATGCTGGACCTCGCTCTTGCTCCTCACAACAAGGTCCGAAAGGAAAAAAACTCAGACGATTCAAACACTAGTGTAAAAACTTTATTGATCCTGGTTAAGCTCAAACAAAGCTCAACTTCTGCTCGTTTCACCCGGTTAAAAAATTCTGTTAAATCTATGAGAAGTCTACTGAGCTCCGTGCTCTCCTTGCTGTAGTGAGCTGACAACGCTGCCTCTGCTGCACTGACATCCCCACCAGTGTTGTCAACCCTGCCTGAGTTCTCCAGTGCACCTGCCTGTGCAAATTAATTGCCGCCCTGCCAGAAAATGGCACATGTACCGCACTGCAGTGCATATTAATGCATTGCGCTGCAAAGCACCTCCATTGACTAGTGCGTTGGGTTGTCATTCAGAATGGATGGCACCACATCACTCTAACACACGGTCATGAGGACGTTACTGCAACAAGATGTTGTAAACAGGCCCTAAACCATTTGATATAAATAATAGCATGCTATTATAATGTTTTTTTTTTTTAAATCCCTTGTTGCATATAAGTGCTGCAGATCTCCTGCAGCCTCTTCCTGTCTACATGCACTCCAATGATGCATGCATTTCTCTGGGCGGGTTTCCTGATGGTGACAACAGTGCACCACGCCTGTGTAATGTGTGCTGAAACAGCCACTTGTAGACTCTCTCTGAAGCCCTTGTAATAAGGTGACAATGCTGCAGCACAATTTGGAAACAGGAACAGAGCGTTGTCACCCCATGACAGGAAGTACCTGAATAAGGGCCTTCATGGCAGGATCTCTAGGGACAATGAAAGCTGCAGATTAAAAATGACTTTTTCAAATGATATTTGCTTGTTAAAGGTTGTATGAGATTTTAGCGATTGGGTTTACATCTACTCTAAAGATGTGTCGCGGGCCCCAGGCAAGCAGGATAAGTTTTGGGTGTTTTTTTTTCTCGCGGTAGTGTAAACACGTCCCCCCCCCCTTCACGTAATCCGTCCTCCTTGGCGCTGTCAGGTTGAAAAATGAGGTGTGCACTTTGAGGGATATTCCAGCGCGCACAACAGCTCAGCGGGATTATTAATGCGCGCATTTAAGCCGAGCCCCATGCTGAGCCGCCACGCTGGCGGAGATCGCCGTGATTGATGGACTGAATTTTCGGTTTACCGACTTGATCTGTTGTGACTGTTTCAGCAACTTCGGTGACAAATGGCTGGATATTAACATGGGGGGCTGTGGGGGGGGATTGATGGAAGTGTCCGTAGAGTACTCGTAGAGAGAAGGATGTCACACTCACATCACTCATCATCATATAAACTGTCTGTGGAGCTCTTCTAAGACCAGCTCGTGTTGTCATTAGAGGAAGGGATTTACTGTCAGAATTACCTGCAGGAGCGGAAAAAGAAAGTCTGTAAGCTTCAAATACTTTATGCGAAATGGTGCTTTAAAGCTGAACTCCCGGCAAACAGCTAAATACACGGAATGCATTCATATACGGGAGCCGTTTTACCTGCCAAAGGATTTGTATTTCTGTCCATTCAGTCCTGAGATTTAGACAGATCTGCCACACAGCACAGCCCTGTCTGGCAGGGGAGGAGACCTGATTTTCTCTGCTGCAGTTCAGCAACACTCAGTCTGTGTTCACACCTAGGCGTATTGAATATGCACGTTTTTCTCGCGTTTTTACCGTGATTCGCAGTAAAAAAACGCACGACAAACGCGCGTTTCCAAGAGCTACTTGGCTGCATCCCAATGGAAACGCGAGACCAAAATGTCCCAAAGAAGTACATGTACTTCTTTGGGCGTAGGCCGTTTTGTAGCGCGTTCAGACTGGCTGAAATACGGAAAGGTCTGAACCATACCCATAGAAAACAATGAGATTTTCAAGTTTGTACGTTTTGTAGAGCGTTGAACGCGTGACAAAACGTAAAGGTGTGAACAGGGCCTTAAGGTGCCCATACACCTTACGATTATCTGCCGAAAACTTTTTGTCTGATGATCGAATAGTCGTACGATTTTCATACGGCAGCCCCATCCTGCCCCGGTGATCGCAAGATTAATTTAGCCGTAATTAACGAAAAGCACCTGGACGAAATGCGGTAATTGATTTGCCGTATTTTCATTAGCGCATGCGCAGTGTAGATCGTACGACTTTTGACGGACGGAAACGCCAGCAACCTTACGACAATTGTACGATCTAGCAAAGTTTTCAAACATGCTTGACCGTCAAAAGTCGTAAGATTGTACAGTGATGTCGGTCGGACACTGCAATGCACACACACGATTATCGGCCGAAAAGTCGATCGCATACGAAAATTGTACGATAATCGTAAGGTGTATGGGCACCTTTACAGGTCTTATTGACACTGCGTTAAGTCAAGCCGTACACGTCCGTGCAGCGTGCACGCCGGTATCGGGCCATTTCCGGGAAGGACAGGTGCTGCGTGTAGCAGCCTGTTCTTCCCTATGGGAGGACGCGGCCGTACGCACACCAGACCTGCAGGCCCAGGTGTCTGTGCTCGGAGGCAGACAGGATGGATCCTGTCTGCCTCCAAGCACAGACAACTGGACCCGCACGGATGTGCAAGTTCGGGTGTACGTTTCACAGCGTATGGCCGGGTCCTCTCATAGGGAACTGGCTGCTGTGTGCAACCACGCGCAGCAACTGTCCCTCCCGGGAACAGCCCAACTTCACGCTGTGTAAATGAGGCCTTACAGGTCTCGTTATCTCCCCCAATCTATGACTGGATAGGAAAAGGAGAAGTAGCAGACTGGTGAGCTCATCTCTCTGTCCCTCTGCTCTCTCCTTCGATGAGCATATGCCATGCTAGCACAACTGATTGGCTTCTTGTGCTGCTTCTCTCTCTCCCCAAGCCAGAGCTCTGCTGTAAATTAAACTGCAAGAGGCTGATGCCAGGTCAAATTCAGGTACTTACACTGTTTGCATTTAAAAATAATAATAATAATAATAATATAACAACATTATTATTATTATTATTATTATTATTAATAATAAATAAAAAAGATGCATTATTTTTCTGCTTTAAAAGTAACTGGTGGCAGCAAATGTAACAGTGACCAGACTGTCCCAGAGGGAAACTACAAGTGACCTCATATACATTGGAAATTGGCAATTAAAGGCGAAGTTTACTTTTCTGACCATGTTACAATTACAATTCTAAGCGTATATGATTTGTGTACAGTGTTTGATATTGAAAATGGGGTTACATTGTATGTCAGGGCTCTGACCCAATCTGTTTTCTCAGGAGCCCACGGATAGCCTAGAGGAGAGCCTGTTATATTCCAGGGTAGAATTTATCATCGGCAGCGGGGAAGAGGACGAGAATCCAGCCCACAAACACGTTGATAATCCCGGAACTCACACCGAGACGACGGAACACGCCAACACAATAAGTATGACCACCAGATTAACACCGCCATCTTTCCCTTCATTTATCAATGTTTAGGACACAAAAACTGCCTGGCAATGTGCAGTGCCCACATTAATCAGATTGTATCAAATGATTCTCCTCTCACTGTGTAAAGCAGATCCCTGCCTCTGCAGTAACCACCATGTGCATTTCTTGGTTTTACTGTAACAGATGTGAAAAACGATACAGATCAGAAGTTTCTCTACCAGCAGCTTCCTGTGACGCTGAAGCTCATTTACACCATTCTTCAGGTATGCCCATGGTGGGGGTGTAGCTAAAGCCTCCAGTGTGTGATTGTTACATAGGTGGTGTTAATTAGGTTGTAAAAAGAACAGGTCCAGTGCAGGGGAAGACTGAGAATATTTGGCCCGGGGGTTGGGTTAAACACCGCCAATTGGCTCTTTCAAGGTAGGGTCAGATTTCTGTGGGCTCCATAAAGTGTACCTTGCATGGTGCCTCATTAATTAGAGGGCATGTTAAAGGTGGGTGCCTTTGTGGCTAATGTGACATGACACATTACAATCTGAATGTACAATCTTCTTTAGATCTAACAACAAGTATGGTCCTCATATTATTGGTTTTGGTAGATCTAAAGTTGGTCAGAATGGTGAAGTATCTCCACTCAGGGCCACCAACCCAATGTATTTTATCAGTACTGGCCCAGAGGAGTGGTGGCCAGTGCCCCTTTCTCTCCAGCCCAATTTTCCCATGGTCCAGAGAAAGGCAATAATAAATCTTTTGGGCTTCCTTGGCCAAATTTGTCTCACGGGGAAACAAAGGTTTCTGCTACCACCAAGATCACACTACCTGAATTTCTGATAAGGTCTAGGGGCCCTTTTAGAACCATCAATTCAAGTCTACCTATACGATATTTTTCATCAATTTATCCCCAAGTCCTCACTTTTCCAACACTCCACTTTTCAATGAGGCTCTCTCCCTTCAAGCTATCAGTCTGAGAGTGAGCATTGTTGATGTCACATAACGCGGTCACATGGCATTCACTTGTTATTGTAGAGGGGACAGCGCTGTCTCGGAATCTGCTGTCACTCAAAGCATTGGAAGGCAGAGAAGGGGAGTGACCTGAGATACGGGGTTTTGGGGTAGCCTGGGTGTGCCAGCGCATGGAGCCTTGGCGTGTCAGGGGTAGTCCTGGTTGGGAGCACACACATAGGGATAGCTATGCTGGGGCTCCAAAGGTACTTACACACAGACAGACAGCACAATTTTCTAGATTGTGATGTTCCCATAAAAGACTTTAATCATTACAATCATGGATGATTCATTTTTAGAAACTCATCCTGTTTTTTTTCTTAACTCTATAAAAGATTGCTGTTACAACCTCATGAGCTGGGCATTCTTATATTTTGCTATTCTTGTATTATGCAATACTTTTTGGCCAGCTGATAATGCTGCCTCTCCACTTCCCATCTGTGTTGGACTGTGCAGGGGATTGCAGGATGCTAGTAGAAGGACAAACTAAAGCACTTATAGTGGCATTATTTAAATACCTAAGTGACATTTTAATACATATGTGGATTTAGTGGTACCTATTTTATCTAACTGGAATCCAGCTTTCATTTTTATAAAGGCGATAGGTGTTTGAGATCTCAGCTATTATTTGGACTACACTTTGCTGGCTCAACCATGACACATCAGGGAACATGTGTATATAGGCAGTTAAACATTAGTTGCCAAGTTATAGTTCCAAATACAAAGTGTATTTCAATGTTTCATATGTATCGTTCTCTCTTTTTTTTTTATATTTAGGAAATGGCAAAGTTTGATGAGCCGGATATTCTGTTCAACATGTTGAATTGTCTGAAGATTTTGTGTCTGCACGGCGAGTGTCTTTACATTGCCAAGAAGGACCATCTTCCATTTCTTGCCTATATACAGGAGCATATGATGATCTCCAGGTACATTGGCACACCTAGGGGGCCAGGCCAGACCCTTCAGTCCCAGAGCATGATGGGAATCTGGCTGATACTTTTACTGGTTACAAAATGGGCCGATGACAACCGTAACTGGGGTGTGAAAATTCCCAACAGCATCGTAGCCAGTTACATTTTTTTGACATCTGATAGCTGGATCAGAGATGTTACAGATACATCTAACAGTACTTTCTATAATTAATCTTACACTATCGATTAAGTATTTGTAATGCCTTGCTGGATCAGTTCCATCTCAGTGCAGAGCCATTTCAGCATAAAACTGGTGCCTTTTAATACTGATGCATACATATGTATGTAGCCAAAGTCAGTGTTAGGACATAGGTTAGGTTAATGTTAGGTTTGTGGTTTGACTGAGTGTTAGGGTTAATATTAGGATATAGGGGTTCAGTTTTAGGTTAGGTGTTTGAGGGTCAAATGATAGCAGCTAAGTTTAAGGTTTACGTTTTACAGTCCCACTAATCCACTGGGAGTGCAAAGAGGAAGCCCTGTGTAAACATCAAGTATCGACTTGATGCCTTTACAAGGCTGAGGACTCTCTTCCCACCACCATATAATAGCGCTGGAGCAATAATGAAACACCAGTGTTGTCCGTTGGGATGAATGGTATTGTGTCACATACTCCACCTAGAGGGCAGGTTTGTTGGACTCAGAACCCAGGAGTGCTCGGCTACGTTTGAGGCTAACGTTAGGTGTCAGAGTTAGGGTGCATTGTACGGACAGACAGCAAGGGACAGCCCTCAACCTGGAGCGCGGAATAAGGTAATTATTGAACTTATTCCTCCATCCCTAGACTCAACGAGCATTTAACCCTTGCCAAAAAGGCTCGCAGGACACACAGTCATGGTGGTGCCTGAGGTTGGTCAGAAAGTCCATGTACATTCAACCATCCTAGTTTATCTGTAGGTGTCCTAAATCTGAGCAATCCAAAGAATACAAATGTCAGTAAATCCACAGGTGCAGTCAGGGACAGGGATGGATTGATCTGAAACAAATTCATAAACGTTTTCATCTTTAATAGCTTGTGGCGGGTTCTGAAATCGGAGTTCTCCCAGCTTTCTTCTCTGGCGGTGCCGCTGCTCCTCCATGCTCTATCTCTGCCATATGGCGCAGATATCTTCTGGACGATTATAAACTCCAACTTCAACAGCAAGGACTGGAAGATGAGGTTTGAAGCAGGTATGTCATTAAAGAAAAATCTGCTGTTATATCACCAGCGGATTTAAAAACAAACATTTTTAACAGTTTTTATTGAAAAAGATCTAATATGGACTGGTAACCTGTGACTGGAGGGCTAAGAGTGGGCAAGTCTTTCCATGCTGACACAAGAGGAAATTGCTCTAAGGCACATGTGTCAAACTCAAGGCCCAGGGGCCGAACCCGGCCCACCAGGCCATTTCCTAGACTTCTACTTTCAGATCTAGGTATTAAGTTATTACTAAAACCAGTGATAATCGAGTGCAGAGGCAATTATGGTAACGATAAGATACATTTATATAGTCTTACAGATACCTTTGAGGGCAACCATAATGTTGATGTGGCCCACGATTAAATTGAGTTTGACAACCCTGCTTTAAGGTAAAGCAAATGCTCTCTTAGACAGTTTCCATCTGAACAATTTTCCCTTTCTTTCTTGTCCTGGTGATGGTGGTCACCAGGACAAATAGAGAGGGTGAGTCTCCCCAGTGGGGACTCTGACATTGCAAACTGAAAGAAGGTTTAGATTTCGATTTGATTTTAGATACACAAAGAGGGTTAACAGTTTACACATTTTTAAAAGTGTTTTCAATGTAACTGCCTAGATTTCAGTGGAATGATATCATTATGACTGCATAGGAAAGAAAAGTGGGAATCCATCACCATCCAGCTAGTAGACTGACTTGTTATATTCAGGTATACTGAAGCTTTATCTGTAGTGTTAAGACCTGGAGACTTTCAACCCTTACTTGGCTTTACTACAGAAGAAAAGGCCTGGTGTAGGATTGGCGATGCCCTTTTAAAGCCCTTTCACAACTATGGGTTTTAATACATCTTTAATGCCTGTGCAGAGGTTTGCTATTGTTTTTAATGCACTATATTAGATATATGGAGTACATTGACATACATTGGCCAAAAAATCTCTGTTTTTTTCAAGAAAGGCAAAGCATGTCAATGCGTGACAACTCACTTGCCAAAAGCAGTATAAAAGTTTTCTTAAAACAGCTCAGCCTGAGGAGAAAAGCTTGTGTCCTGGCAGCATGCTACAAAGTGGGATTTTGCTGTGTGGAGGCAGTAGTCTCACTGCAGAGGTCCGACAGTTACCCTGCTGAATCATAGCCAGAGCTCTCCATTAGGTTTGATGAATGCAGAGCAATAGGTCTGACTCAGCAGGGGGGTTGTGGAACCTCTGAAGAGAGACCACGGCTTCCACACATAGAGCAAGGGTCCTTCTCTGCAGCTGCTGGCAGTGGACAGGCTTTACTACTGGGGCTGCAGCAGCTTTAGATAAACAAATTACCTGTAAGACTTTGCTTACCTTTTGCGTCGCATGTGGAGCGTATTTAGCTGATTTAATCTGAAAGTTAAGTTGGGTTGTTGGATTATTTATCCTTTTTTAAAGAACATGGTCATTCAGACATGATGTAGGTCAGTTTGACTGTGACTTTTTCCTTCCAGTTGAGAAGGTTGCTGTGCTCTGTCGGTTTCTGGACATCCACTCACTCACAAAGAACCACTTGTTGAAATATTCGCTGGCCCACTCTTTTTGCTGCTTCCTGACTGCTGTGGAAGACGTCAACCCAGCTGTGGCCACACGAGCTGGACTACTGCTGGACACCATCAAGCGGCCCGCCTTGCAGGTGAGTTACCAACCAGGGGTTGCAGACAGGGCCATCCAAAGCTCTAATTTCTCTGGCTGAATTGGCCAAAATGAAAGCAGTGAATAGACTGATTTATACATTACTGAGCATGCATGCAAGTAACATGGGAACAAATATATCTGAGCCTAGGTTCATGTTATGGCAGAGCAGGTAAGAAGAACAAATTATTCTGGGTGTCTTAATTGGGAGGGCAGCTAACTATTGGATTAGCAGCCCTTCCAGGTATAGCAAAAAAAACAACAAATTAACAGCTCTAGAAAGCTTTTCCCTTAGACAAGCCTTTCTCACCCCAGAGGAACCATTGAAATAATTTTCAGGTCTCAGTGCTTAAATTGATACATCTGGCGCCATTAGGAAGAATGCCCCCCTTACAGTGGTGGCGTGAATGCCACCCTTATAGAAACCTAAAAAGATAATTGGTGTCATGCTGCTGACCTTGCCAAGTGGCATTGGGCCTGGAAATATCCAGACTCAATCAGATAGGAGGTCAATCAGCCAGAGCTCAAGAAACCTCTAGCACTTCTGCCTTGCAGCACTGGGAGTCCCTGGTTAGAATCCTGGCCAGGTCACTATCTGCAAGGAGTTGGCATGTTCACCCTGTACTTGCGTGGGTTTCCTCCGGGTACTCCGGTTTCCTCCCACACTCCAAAGACATGCTGGAAGGTTAATTGGCTCCTCTCTAAATTGGCCCCTGTGTGCATCTGAGATAGGGACCTTAGATTGTAAGCTCCTTGAGGGTAGGGACTGATGTGAATGTGCTGCATAAATTGTTGGCGCTATATAAATATCTGTAATAAATAAATAAATAAACCTCTGGAGAAACCCTAGCGTTCCACAGAACCTTGGTTAAGAATGGCTGCTAAAGGCTGATCATCTTTAATGTTATCTGCAGTTGGAGACACTCCTCAATGCCACCCATCATTCTTCTTTCTGTTCTGTACCACCTCTGTAGGGTCTCTGCCTCTGCCTGGACTTCCAGTTTGACACCGTGGTGAAGGACCGGCCGACCATTCTCAGCAAGCTTCTTCTCCTCCACTTCCTGAAGCAGGACATTCCGGCATTGAGCTGGGAATTCTTCGTAAACAGATTTGACACATTGTCCCTGGAAGCTCAGCTTCACCTGGACTGCAACAAGGAGTTCCCTTTCCCTACAAGTGAGACCTAAAAGGGTTTTCAGCTGCACCTTAGATATTGGAATTAATGTAACCTGCTGCATATTTGAATGAATATATAACTGCATTGAAGGGTTGTCCTTTACTCATTTGCATCAAGTGCTTCTATAACATTTTCTATTGACCCCATATTGTGAGTTATTAATTCATTGTGGAAAGTCATTTTTATGTAACTTTTTTGCGGACCTTTCATTAGCTTTACAATTCTGCATGAAAAAAGAACACTGACTTATGCAGTGCCTTGGTCACTTTGTTTGCATGTCCACCGGTTGCCTGTTCCTCAGAACTGGCCCACCTCCGACAGCGGGGCGGCGGTCTTAGCCCAGCATGATGGCGAAATGTAAATTGTGCCTAGCTCAGGGATTTTCATAGGTGCCTACACCATAAGTGCCTTCTATGCTATAAGGCCCGGACATAATATATAATTTGTGAGGCCGCAGTCTGTGTGATGTATGTACGTCCTTTGTTTCTGTTATTGTACCCATACCATTTTTGTCTTTGTAAAAACCTCAATAAAAAATGTATTTCTGAAAAAAAAAAAAGAACACTGACATGCACAATATACAGCAATGGTATAATTGTTTTTTACACGGTGTATCGTTAAAGGAGAACTATGGGGTCAGTGTTTTTCCCCATAGTTCTCCTTAGGGTAACGGGAGGACACAAACTAGCGTCCTCCCGTTACCCTAAGCTCAGTATACCGCGAGCTACAGCTCGCGGTATGCTGAGACGCCGCAGCCGGAGCGGATCCCGACTTAGACGTCGGGATCCGCCCAGCTGCGTGAGTGACAGCTGGCTCTGCCTATCTACCGGCAGAGCCAGCTGTACCCGCCCCCTCCCCCGTCCGTTCCGCCAGTCAGCGCTGGAGGATCGGAGCGGGGAGGGGGGAATCCATGCCCTCCCCTGTCACGGCAGAGAGCCGTGACAGGATCGAGAAGTGAGCGAACACCGGCATGTGTTCGCTCACCTCCCGATCTACTGAGCCGACCTGTGACAGTCTCATTGTCACAGGTCGGCTAGAACTATGAGGTGAGTGAAAAGCACTCACCTCATAGTTCTCCTTTAAGAACCACTCTTGAACTCCAGTCATTGACTTTGCCTTGGCTGCAATGATGCCATGAGTCTGCTGCAGGGAGAAGGAAAACATTTCCTCAGTCTCCCCTCCCCCAGTAATTGAATTAAAAATAAGAAAGCAGACATTGCATATGTAATGACCAAAAAAAAAAAGACTTTCTCTGTATACATATAGAGTTACAAATTATATTGTGCATAGAAACAAATTATTTACATTACATTGATTGCATGCCCAACCAAACTGTAAAATGATTATTCATTTTCCTTTCTTGTTTTCATGTTTCTCGCATTTCTGATTCTTTGTATAATATTACATATGAGAAAGCCTCCATTTAAGATATTTTTCATTTCCTAAGCACAAATATTACATCCTGTTGCTGAAAACGACATCTGTTATTTATTTAACTAAAAAACATAAATGGCTCCTCATTATTTTGTGATTTAAATTCCAGCAATCACAGCTGTGAGGACAAACGTGGCCAACCTCAGTGATGCTGCCATTTGGAAAATCAAAAGAGCGCGGTTTGCACGCAACAGGCAGAAGAGTGTGCGGTCCCTCAGAGACAGCGTCAAAGGTGCCACAGAGTCGAAGAGGGCCCTGTCATTGCCAGAGACTCTCAGCACCAAAATTCGTGAGTAAAATGATTGTTTGTTTCCTTCATGCTTCCTCCAACCTTTCTCCTGTCATCGTTTGGATACCAGAAATGTAGAGGGATAGAAGCAAGATAAACAAATATACATTATATGCCCAAAATGTTGTCGACACCTGACCATCACACCTACCTATATGGCCAAAAGAATGTGGACACCCCTCCATAACGTTGAGTTAAGGTGTCCCCAGTGACTGTTAATGCTACAACATACAAAGACATTGTAGACCAGGGGTAGCCAAACACTGGTCCTCCAGCGGTGGTGGAACTACAAATCCCATGAGGCATTGCAACATTCTCACAGACATGACTCCCGGAGACAGATGCATCATGGGATTTGTAGTTTCACCACAGCTGGAGGACTAGTGGTTGGCTACCCCTGTTGTAGACAATTGTGTTCTCCCAGCCTTGTGGTAACAGTTTTGGTGAAGACCCTTTTCTGTTCCAACATGTGCCCCTGTGTACAAAGACAGTTTCATAAAGACATGGTTTGACCATTTTGGTGTGGAGGAACTTGAGTGTCCTGCACAAAGCCCTGACCTCCACCCTACTGAACACCTTTGGAATGAATTGGATGCTGATTGTGAGCCAGGTCTTCTCATCCAACATCAGTACCTGACCACACAAATGCTCTTTTGGTAGAATGAACACAAATTCCCACTGAAATACTCCAAAATCTTGTGGAAAACCTACCAAGAGGAGTGGGAATTGTTACAGTTGCAAAAGGGGGCAAGTCCATGTTAATACCCATGGTTTTGGAATGGAATGGAATATACAGGTGTGATGGTAAGGTGACCACAACCCTCTGGCCATATACTGTTGGTTTACCACCATGTAAGTTTTTAGGAAAATACACTACACATAATTGTGCTCCGTCTACAAAAAGGATCCAACAGAGGTTAATACTGCTCAGCATTTTAATTTGGGGATGCAAAACGTTTAAGCAAAACTAAAAAAAAAAGACCTTGCGCTCATCGGACGACACTTTTCGTTCGATGATGTAACCGTCGTGCCATTTTCGTATGACGGCCCCATCCTGCCCCGATTATTGCAAGGTTGGATCAGTGGGTAAAAAAAAAATCAAAAAATAGACTTACTGGGTGGATCTAAAAGCCTAGGCACTAGGTCATGTGAACTCTGGTTATGGAGACGACAAGAGTTCAGATTGGCTGATCTGTGTCTACAGCAGAGCTCATGTGACTGAAAACCTATGGAAATATGGAGTCTGGAGCAGCATTGCCTCCAGAAAAGTAGATATTTTAAACCTTCTTTTGCTCGTTATTCTTCCCCGCAAGACTTTTGATATTCAAGCACAGTTCCTTTAGTCAGATTGGCCTTGCTAGGTTCAAGTAGGATTCCTTGTCCCTGCTCTGAAGATTTTCTGGCTTAGTGGTGGCTTTGTTTTGCGTCCTATTAGAATTATTGCACGTGGACTTTGGTCTTTTTGGTCTTCTCTCACACGGCTGTCATATTGGAAGAATTGTTTACTAACAACTCTTTCTCTTCTGTCTACAGCTGTCAGGCTGACAAGGCAGGAACAGTCGGCTCCTGTACTCGGGGGCATCGCAGAGCAGCCACAAGGTGACCCTCAGAACATAAATATACCTTTGTTGCAGTTTAATTTTATTTCCTTTGTCAATATTAAAGAGAAACACCGGGCAACAGTGCTAAATGCAGAGGCTTCGCATCATTTTTTTTTTTTTAATATCATTTTTCCAGACTAAGCAGGACTTTTAGAATTCCTCTCAATCAGTACAAATTTCTTGCTTCACAGGGACTGCATAGCGTAGAGCACTGGTGTAATGCTGCCTCTGTCTTACTGAAATGTAGATCTCGCCATGCATTGTTTCAGTAACTGCCACATACCTAGTGACAGAGACAAGGCGGGCAATGCTAGAGAAGAAAAAGTGTGAAAAGGGAAGAGGGAAAAGTGTGGTCACCTTTTTTTTTTGTTTGAAAAAGTAAAATAATACATAAAAAATTGACATTTAATGCCATCTGGTTCCTGTAGAATTGTAAAGTTTCCCATAATTATGTCCTTAGCAGCAGAAAAGCCTTTGGTGACAAGATCTCAGGGGCAAAGAAAAATTGGATTGGTTAGAAGGACTTGTGTGACTTTGCCCGATTGCTATCATTTCCCTAAAAATAAGTTGCATCTGGAGGTTTTTTGCTGTACTTCCTGCTGCACATTCCAAAGGCATAAACGGGCAGCTTTAGATGACCACTTCTGCTGCGGTAAAAAAGGTTTCCTGATGGTCGGCCTCAGCCTTCATGTCCAGCCACCATTATCGCCAACTGTGGCCAGCAGCGGTCAAGTTATCTCCAGACATTAGGTATCTAGAGAAAAATATGCCTATACATTTGACTAGATAAACAACTTGCCCCTTGGTTCTTCACATGAGAAAGGTTGACCATGGGGCTTCTGCAGGTTGGGGAGTATCCACTGAGTACAATTCTTGCTGACCAGATCGTGTGAAGATCTTGTAGACACCTCTAGTTGGCACAACATTCTATCAACACACATTATGGTGACCCTAATCCAGCTTGGCCCATTTCTGTTCCAAAGCCTAATATGATAGATGATTTGCTTTGGGCTACTTCAGGGGGTAACAATGAGAGCACCTGTCTATTAGAAGTACTTGTTATTGCTCAAACTATTATGTGTATATGTGCATCTAGGAAACATAGTCATGAAATACCAACCTTCCGACTTTGATCATGAGTATAAAATTTACTGTTTATTCATCTTACAGGACAACATTCACCAGAAAACGATAACATCATTAAGGACCCTCTCCCGGAAGACGCAGGGATTGACCATCAGACGGTCCACCAGTTGATATCCGTCCTCATGAAATTCATGGCCAAAGACAAGAGCAGCGCGGAGGCCGACATCAGCAGCGCCAAAGCGTTTAACACTGTGAAGCGACATCTGTATGTGTTGTTGGGTTTTGACCAGCAAGAGGGCTGCTTCATGATCGCGCCTCAGAAAATGCGCACCTCAACGTGCTTCAATGCCTTTATCGCTGGAATTGCTCAGGTATGGCTGGTAATATTCCAAGTTGATCCAGTGCGATATCGCACAAAACACACATTCGCATTGGCTGTTCACATCTTTGCGGTTTGTCGCGTGACTGAAATCGACTGTCACGCGAAAAGATGCAGGACCTATTTTCGGGCGGTTGGTTTTCAATAAACAGACGCGTGAAAACAGCTCAGCATCTGAATCGCCTAGGTGTGAACCTAGCCTTAAGGAAATTGGATTAGCATTCCCGCTCAATGACAGCTGAGGTTAACAAAAGATAGAGATGAGGACGAAGGTGTTGATTTACTAAAGGCAAGTAGACTGTTAACTTTGCAAGGGAATTTTCTCTTAGCTTAGTGAATGTGGTGAAAACTGACTTTGCTGCAAAACTATTGGTGATCATATGTCTTTATTCATAAACTTAGGTTAGGGAAAGAGTTAGACGTAGGGTTCCTCCATTCCTCAATATCTAATGTCATATTTCTAGTCAAT